ATTTTTGTTCGTAATGTGGAATTTATCATAGAAGGAGGAAAAATTCAAAACCTCTATAATGTGGATTGTCCAAATGTGTAATTTTATATTTAGATAAATCTACTTTTATCTCTAAAAAATTAAATTCAAATATGTAAGTGACTACTGTTTTGTGTAATTTATACTTTAACAAGACCTTTGGGTTCATAAGAAAAATGAAAAATTAAACAGTTCATAATATCACATTTTGAGATTTATTAGTGTTTTATCCTTACTTTTTTAACTCATTTGAAAATTTTGAAATTTTATTACTTTGGATCTAGATCTCTGTTGTTTATGAAATTTATATATTTTTAATTGTTTCACTAGGATTCATAAAACAAAATTCATGATGAATATTAAATTTTTAAAAAATACAAAATTTTATTGACTTAGACTGACTTGGTCATCAAAATTTAATTAATCGAAGTTAGTGAAATTTCGGTGACATTTGTAACGCCCTCAAAAAATATACATAACACCCATCATTCAGACATGCAGTAATATAAGAAAATCAACGCCTTTCCATTCATCAGACTTGTTCTTACAACAGTGTTACATGTTAACAACAAAAGCAAATGCCCTACGGGCTTATAGCTTTTCAAGTCAACACTTGGTTACACAAAAGAAGAGCACTAACTCTATACAAAATAAGCCCTTGGCTTGATATACATGTAACACAAACAAAATTAATCAAAAAGAGTCTTCAACTCCCATAACTATCCAAGCTATGTCCTTGGAGGTGGTATGCTACTTGTACCTGAAAAATAATGTCCCATATAGGGTGAGCCAACGCCCAGTAGAGATATGCTAAACACAATATGAGCAGTAACTAAGACATTAGCAATTGATAAATGTTTAACTCCCATAAATCAATTCATAAAACCATTTCCATTACATGACCACTATGTCTATATCTCATTTCATTTTTCATTTCTTATCCAATTCCCAAATTCATACCCATGGCTCAGAACCTGGCCACACACTCTAAACGAAATAATAATTCATGTTAAACGTTTCCCAGTTCGCAATAGATAAGCATACAAGCTGTATCAACACCTCAACAGATAAGCATATGAGTTATATCAACACTTCCATAGATAAGCATATGAGCTATATCAACACTTTCATAGATAAGCATATGAGCTACATCAACACACTAACTGACAAGCATATGAGCTGTATCAGTGGAGTCCATCCCCTATCTCCTCCCAAACAATAACCGGTTTAGAGGTCCATTCCCTATCTTCTTCTAAACCGTGGAGTACATCCCTTATCTCCTCCCACACACAAAGTATATATACATAGGTCATATACACAATCAATCAATACATAACGTTAATGTATTCTATCAACCGTCATACTCTATGACACATCCACTTGATTAGTTTTAGTTTGCCTAATCATCATGCGTTGTCTACAACAATCAAAACTACCCTCCACCGGCAGCCCAAGCAATTATTTCTAAACTGATAATAAAAGCTCCAACAGATAAAAATCAATGTTTTCAAAAGTGAGCGATTAATAAATCAAACTCCACCATTTTACAATATAATGAGCCAATTTCATTATTTCCAACTCAATTCCAAATAATGACACTGTCCCCAAATTAATTATACCAATTAATTTATACAACAAATTAGAATTTTCTACCCCTCTTTCCAATAATGAGCCAATGGTCCATATATCAACAGCCAACATCAATGCCATTATTTTGAAACCCAAATTACACATTTTAGAATCAAAATAACAAAACCCTCTTTCAATATTTTCAAACCCTAGATTCCAAAATCAAACCATTTAACAAAATACCCAATAATCTAGGTTAAGACCCATAATAGTAAGTAGGAATCCCTACCTCAAAAGTTGACACCCAACGAAGAAAATGAAGAAAACGGAAATGCTCCAAATCCCGAGATTCTTCGATCAAAAGATAGTCCTCGACGATCAACAACTTTTTTGTAAAGGCCAAAGGTGAGGAGACAACTCCTACTAGATCAATACCTAGAGAGAAAGCAAGGTTCTAGAGAGAGAGGCTTTACAATGGAGTCTTTGGAAAAGTAAGAGAGAGAAGAGATGTGAAAAAGTGACTTGAAAATACCCAACTGCCTTCTGATATACGACATTCCCGCTCGAGCGGAGAACAGGACGTTCGAGCGTCACGCACAAAAATCTAGACACGCCCGAGCGCAAGAAGGCCCACTCGAGCGCCAAGACACAAGAATAAAGTACATCCGCTCGAGCGTGAAAATCAGTCTGCTCGAGCGTAGATTTTCCCCTCCCAGAACTTACACCAAAAAGGTATTACCCGCTCGAGCGCCAACAAGCTCGCTCGAGCTCGACCCGCTCGAGCGTAGAAATCACACCCGCAGAAGTTTTGCAGAGCACGAAAATACTGGGAGTGTGCAATCTCTGCTCGAGCGCTAGACGACCCGCTCGAGTGGAACGACCAAAAACCTGGCAACAAGAAATTTGACTAAGGCTCAACCCATATGTTCGAAACATGCCCAACACATCCTAAAACTCATTCAAATGGAATTAAAGGACGACAACAACGTAGACACAATTACCAACTCCACGGAACCGAGTCCGGAATGCAACTGAACAGTAAAGGGAATACTAGAATCGCTACAACATTGCTAACATTGCGCTAAAGAATCGATCATTCAATTCCTATTGTTGTGACGTAGTCGACTAACAAGCAAATCTCAAGAACTTATTTTAAATCTCGGGAACTTTAAATAACAAATGAATTATTGATGTCTTTAAAATCTTACACAATCTTATAGAGGATCTCTTTCTAATTTTCTCTTAAAACAATCAATTTATAAACAAATTCAAAAGCATTAACGTTGTATTTAATTGTGGGATTTAGAAAGAAATTTTAAAAAGAAAAAAGAGAAATATATGTAAAATTAAGTCAAATACAGATATATTTTATTTATTTATGTATTTTTTTTCGAATTCATCTTCAAATATTTCAATCAAACGCATACAGAAGAGTACAAAACAGATGTGATTGTTTGTTGGCTCAATGCACCCGAATAAAGTTTCACTCACATTCCTTCTCTACCAAGTTGGGAATTTTTTAAGTGTCACTGGAGTGGATATATTGTTGTGCTTTAATGTAGTTATATAGGTATTATTAGGGTTTGTTTGGCTAGTATTCTTTTTAGTTAAAAAATTAAAAAATTATTAAAAAAATTAAAAAGTCAATAATTCATATTAAAAAGTCAAAGATTTTTTTTTTTATTTTTTACACATCTTTTTATAAAAAATCAAAAAATCATCTTAAACATATTAATTTTTTTCACATCATATTTTAAATAAATAGCTAAAAAATTATTAAAAAAATTTGTCTTCCAACGAGATTTTAGTCCGTCAACATGACTATTGACAGTGAATATGACATGTTGAATAAGAAAAAAAAGGAGATGGATAAAACATAATTTCCTTAAATTTATGAATTTCAAATGATAATGACGGTCCTTGTAACCTGTGACCACATGCATCAAGGTACGTATACAGATAAAAAGACTTTTTGATTGATCCATGATGACACCTATCAATGATCTTGACCCTTCCCCCGAAAATCTTCAATTTTCATCCACCCAAATCACGGACTAAAAATCATTACAAATTAGTCCTCTTCCACCATCACTGGAAAGTTGAATTTATTTTTGCTCCCAATCTCTAATATTTAATAATCGAAACAAGCAATTGAGACAAAAATAATAATAATAATAAACGATGTATTATAATCTCCGGGAGTGGTGGCCTCATAAAGAATGTATTATGTTTTTATACGGTGAGCTAAGTTCGAATATTGAGGAGCATGTTCTCTTTGTAGTGGCGTACTCGGATATGAATTAAACTTCTTTTGTGATGCGTATAGGTGTTATGGGTTATTCCGAGAAAGATGGTTAAAATTGATTTTTTGATTTTTTAATATATTTTTTAAAATGTATAAAAAATGTAAAAAATAATATGATTTAAAATGGATTAAAAATTAAAAGATAGCTTTTAACTATCTTTCTAAAATACTCATAATCCTACGAAACGTCTTTTTTCTACGTTAAAAAAAGAAAAAGAAAAAAAAAGGTGTTACAAGTCTTTTGTTAATATTTCACATACTGACAGTGTATTTTCGTAATTTAATGAAAAATAGAGACATAACAATATAAAGAGCTTGTTTGTTTTCAAATATAGAATGGACGGGATTCGTAATGAGAGAATTATTAGTGAGGAAATTAAGTAAAATTGTATTTGTTTTGATGATAGTTATTGGTATAGGGATTGTTAAATTATTTTTATATAAAATAATAAAACAAATAAAAAATACAAAAAATTAAACATTAATATTAAAAAAAAAACCCAACATGTAAAAAACAAAATAAAAATAAAAATAAAACTATGATTTTTACTTAATAAAAAATGTAAAAAATTAAATATTATTTAAAAAAATACCCAACATATAAAAAATAAAAAAAACAAAAAAAAAAAAAATCTGACAAACTATTTTCTAATATCAAATCCCAAACTTCCATCATAATTCCCTCTCCAAAAATCATTCTAATCAGAAAAAAATTTATAAATTATTTCTCCATCTTTCAAAATAAATACAGTATTAATAAATTTCACAAAGATTTTATTGACAATTAGGCCAAGTTTGGCATATAGCCAAAAAGCTAAAAAGCCAAAAAGTTACTTAAAAAGTTAACACTATTCATCAAAAGTCAACAATTACAGCTGCACAACTTTCAATTCGAATTTTACCCTACAAATCAATTTTTACAATTTTTTATTACACATTTTTCTATAAAAAGTCAAAAATTTAACCCAAACATCCATATTTTCAACCTTAATTTTTTAGTCTAAAAAGATAAAAAGTGCACTTATTTAGGACACGCCAAACAAGCCCTTAGAAAGAGAGCGACACGACGCGACGCGACGTACATAATGGCCCGACTGCCACTTCATTTTCCAACCTGTATATGTTTTTATATTTTTTCCTACTATTTCAATGTCCTTTGCTTGCTCCAATCCAACACTCGAGTGTCATTTACATTTGTCATCATCACTTCACTACCACCCCTTCCTTCTATTCCAGTCCTCACCCAGACGAAACCGCTTAGATCTGAATCCACAGACTTCCAAAACCCTAGCCCCAATTGCGAACTCGGTAAGCATTTTACTCTATTCTGATTTTTCTTCATTGTTTTAGTATGCACTACATCATTGGTGTTGAAATGGTTTTGATTTGAGATCTGAGAGTTTTTAAGTTAGTAGATCACTTGATTGTACTGAATGTGGGGTTTAAGGTTATGGATTGGCACACATTTGCGTGAAAACTAGGGTTTTGGGGTTTTGTTGTTTATACACTTACTTGGTGAAGTGAATTGCTTGTAAATTTGACTGTGTTGTCATTAGTAGTGCTTGAATGGGTGTGCTTGTGCTTAATGTTTGGATTTTTTTTAATGGAAGCTTAATTTTGCACTTAATTGTATTGCTTAAGTCAAGTGGGCTTGGATGCAAATGAGTGAGGTCTGATGTATTTTGTTAGAAGTTAAAAATGATGTTTATTGTATGTTTCAGAAATGTTATTGGAAAATTTTTTTGTTCTGCAATAGTTGGTTCTTCTAGAACTTCAGCAATATCGCCATTATACTTGTATTATGATTTTTTTTTCTCCCAGCTATTTAATCATATTTTCTAATAACATTTTTTGATCAGCTAAAAAAAAAAATGAGCTTTATTGATACCCTTTTGAACACTACGTGGTGCAGAGTAGGTTCTAGCAATAGCGTGAATGGCAGCAGTGGATGCTCAAAATCCTCTTCTTGGAGATACTACTTGTGGTTCTCTACTGCAGCAATTGCAGGCAATCTATTTGAAATTTTCTTTATTTTCTGCATTCTGCTCGTTTTTGGCTTATCAGATGTGTTGCTGCTTTGGCTAATGATTTTCAGTTGTTATGAGTGGAACTAGTAAGTTGTGAATAGTATGATTGGCTAATAAAGTACTCTGTTTTAATGCAGCGAATTTGGGATGAGGTTGGTGAAAGTGACGAAGAACGGGACAAGATGCTTCTTCAGTTAGAGCTGGAGTGTTTGGATGTGTACAAGAGGAAGGTGGATCAGGCTGCAAAGTCAAGGGCACGACTTCTTAAGGGCTTGGCAGATGCCAACGTTGAACTCTCGAGTCTTCTATCTGCTCTCGGAGAGAAAAGTTTCGTTGGAATTCCTGAGAAGAGTACAGGAACGATCAATGAACAACTTACTGCTATTGCACCAGTTCTAGAACAGCTATCCCTGAAGAAGCTGGATGAGTTTCAGTCTCGGCTCCAAGGTGGGGAGTGGGGCATTACAAAATGGTATCAAAGCGTAGGGATTAGGTCTTACATGGGATCTGTTGGGTGGTGAGTATTATGAAAAAAAAGGGGTTGATATTTAAGGTGAAAAAAAAATCATTTTTATATCAGAGTGAGTAGCGGAGCCGTGTTATTTGGAGTTTTAGTTGAGATTAAATTTTGGAGCATTACGGATTGGAATTTCGAGGACGAAATTATTTTAATGGGGATAGATTGTGACACCCCATATTTTTGAAGTATTAATATTTAGTGAGTGGTAGTGGTGGTTTATTATAATAATTAAGTGGTGAGATTTATAGATAAGAATCTAATTTTAAATTATTTATTTATATTTATCTCATCCCTTTTATATCTATCATATTGTTATTTATTCTGATATAATAATAAATTAATTTTCCCCACAATTCCCCATCACGTGGAAAAAGAAACAATATAAAAAAAAAGAAAAGAAAAAAAGACAAAACTGTTAGTTAACAGTTTATTATAAATAACAATATGATAGGTATAAAAGGGATGAGATAAATATAAATAAATAATTTAAAATTAGATTCTTATCTAAAAATCTCACCATTAAATTATCATAATAAACCACCAATACCACTCACTAAATATTAATACTTCAAAAATACAAGGTGTCACAATCTATCCCCCTTAAATTAATTTCGTCCTCGAAATTCCAATCCGTAATGCTCCAAAATTTAATCTCAACTAAAACTCCAAATAACACGGCTCCGCTACTCACTCTGATATAAAAATGATTTTTTTTTCACCTTAAATATCAACCCCTTTTTTTTCATAATACTCACCACCCAACAGATCCCATGTAAGACCTAATCCCTACGCTTTGATACCATTTTGTAATGCCCCACTCCCCACCTTGGAGCCGAGACTGAAACTCATCCAACTTCTTCAGGGATAGGTCAGCCTCATCAACTACATGACTCCCCACCTGCTCATAAGTCCCAGCAATTTCTCCACATATCTTTTGTATCTGTGATTGTACATCGAAAAACTCTTTAATCCTCTCCTCTTTCTGTTTCCACAGCTGTTCTAGAACTGGTGCAATAGCAGTAAGTTGTTCATTGATCGTTCCTGTACTCTTCTCAGGCTGCAAATCAAACCAAAGATAATTATGAGAACCCAATTTCCTAACTCCCACAACAGACTTAAGAAAGCTAAATCTATATATACACAACACCAAAAACTTCCTTGAAACAATTCCAATATAAGAATCGTATAAACTGTTATAAGAATGTGGACTACTAACAATTCCAACGAAACTTTTCTCTCCGAGAGCAGATAGAAGACTCGAGAGTTCAACGTTGGCATCTGCCAAGCCCTTAAGAAGTCGTGCCCTTGACTTTGCAGCCTGATCCACCTTCCTCTTGTACACATCCAAACACTCCAGCTCTAACTGAAGAAGCATCTTGTCCCGTTCTTCATCACATTCACCAACCTCATCCCAAATTCGCTGCACTTGTTGCAGTAGAGAACCACAAGTAGTATCTCCAAGAAGAGGATTTTGAGCATCCACTGCCGCCATTCAGAGAGCTAAGGATCTCCATGACAAGGAGTTCAAGCTTCTAAACCCAGCTCCACTCTCCTTCCTGTAATGTCTGTATGCAATTTTACCCATCAACTCCAGCCCACTTTCAGACGCATAAACCTGAAGAAGATTAAAAAAAATGGATTATTATAGTAAATTGTAAACAGAGAGACATGCAATTAAAAGTCAAAAGCAACAAAAACAAATACCTGTAAATGCCAAAACAGCAAAATGAGTAAGACATGTATAAACTCGTACACAGCTAGAATTAAATCAGACCGATAGAATTCTTATTCTTCCCAATCAAGTGAACCCTGCATTCAAGGTTTTACACCAAAATGCACAAGGCTTTCAATTATGAGTATGCAATGCCATGATCTACATAAACGATACCTTTATTTTCAAAAATTCGACCAACACTACCAGAAATGGTTTTCTAGGAACTCCAGATCACTCATATCTTTTTACTACCAACAAATACCCACCATACAGCGTTTATTGTGACAACTATTTTAGATCTATGCATAACAGACCCCACTTGTATGGCCTCTTGTACTTAAACTTATCAACAAAGAGAATGAACTCAAAACTGCAATAATTGCAAATAAAATTTGAATGAACAATATTTAGAATACATAGAAAGGCCTTCAACTTACTCCCTTTCCATCTGGGCCCATGCACCATTGACCAGAAGATCGACCAGTTGTGTGAACCTGCCTTTTCCCAGCATCTTTTGGAATGCCCACACTGCTTTTGGGATTCACCGAACTTCCAAAGCCATGCAATACCTCACAAGCATTTTTTTTTTTTCGATGCTTTCTGCCACTTGTTGAACTTATCCCATCATTAGCTTTCACAGCTGCTTGCTGTTCAGAACCTTCTCCATATCTAAATTGACCCCTGAAAACACAAAGTATAAGCCCACCATAAGAAAACACCTTACAAAAATATTAGCAACAAACTGAGTTGAATGTAAGCACCTTACATGTAATCAATAACTGATGAAATTCTCCGTGAATCCACATAGGAAATAGTGAGTCAACTCAACACCAAGTAATCAATTTTTAAAACTCAAAAATTAACGGCCTAAGGAGGATAGTGAAAATAATTTAACTAATGGTAAATTAACTATGCTGCAGATGTGTTATCATTACAGATTTACACAACCTGGATTTAGAAAGCTTTGATAAACAAGAATCTTCTGTTGATTCAACCATCACGCAATGGGTATCCAACACTACTGGAACAAAAATGGAATATGAAGAACATATTGCAAGGCTTTAAATACTGCCCATGTCATCGCATATCAGCTAGTTCAAACAGGTTTTCTGGCCATAGAATCTACTACAATAACATTGAAAATTTAAAACATACGATTTGGGTGCAAGATGGATTAGGTAGTAGGAGTAGGATTGGCATCTGTGATTTTACAAAAATCGTCTTCCAGCAATGATACATGCACAAAACGTTATGCGCGTCTCACAAAATGTTCTCATTGTAATACTTGAATTACTATACTACAAATGGCAATTTCCAAAAGGAAACTGTAGCACAAAATACATTGTTTAGATGCTAAAGATCTAAACCCTGCCCTGAATAAATACAAAGAACAAATGCACAACCCTATCTTGATGACCAAAAAGAACTATGAAAATATAGGGTTCCTAATTAAATAAACAACTCAATTTAATTCAGCCAATATTATTGTACAGAACCCAATTTTCACTTTCAAGAACAATAAGCAAAACATACAAGATTTCAGTTTTCTTGTCTGACCCTTTTCTCCTAATTTCCTTTCCCATAATTTCTCCACAACCAAATTAACTGCCAAGACTAAGCCAAACATAGTTCAATTAAAACAACCAAAAACCTTAATTTTCCTATTCCCAATAAGAACAAAATTGAGACCCAAAACAATGCAAAAACAATAAATAAAACACAAGTCGCTGAATCTTTACCTCTACACCAATCCTCCTGAGAGGAGATCACTTCAAGTTCAATTTCATCATCATCACATAAAGAGAGAGAGAGAGTTTGGGGGTGTTTGTTTGGGTTTTTTTGAGCCAACTTATATCTTCTAACTTTGGAAAAAGTTATTTTAGACTGTTTGGTTAAACTTATTTCAAACAATTTCTGATTCTTACAATTTATTTTAACTAAAATAAGCTAATTCTGAAAAGCTGTTTACCCCTTACTTCTGATTATCAGCTTTTGTTGTGGACATATTAATTTACGATTATATTCTTAGATTTCTTTTATTTTTATTTTTTTTAAATAAAAAAGAATCCAAATAGACTATAGATTATTATTATTATTATTTGAGAAATGTAAACAAGTAGTAAATAACAAAAAAATAAAAATTAATTGAAAAAATTATTTCACTATTTTTTTAACAAATACTAGTGAGCAACTTAAATCTATAATTCAATAGTTACACCAAACAGATTAACATCTTCTAATTAAAGTTATAATTTATAATTTGTTAAGTTATAATTTATAATATGTTTTAACTGTTACATCAAACAGCCCTTTGAATGTGGAGAAAATGAGGGATTTGATGTTGGATGATTTGGGCTTCACTCCAGTGGACTGGGCTATTTCACAGTCCAAGTCAATTGGATGGAGTGAGGCCCAATTCTTGTTGGAGAATGGAGTGTTGTGTGAAATCTAAGCTTTACTGTCCAAGTACTGGAGGAGGGATTCGAAGCCCAAACGTTTTGTCTAATTAAACCCGAGTCGAGCCGAATCCAGAGGTCTAAATAAGCCCAAAAAAATTAAAATAAATAAAACAAAAAGTAAATTGGTAATAAATTCAATTTAGGCATTTAGTCTAATGGATATTTTTTTATTAGTAATAGGTCTACCCTTTATAAAATTATTTGATAAGAAATCATTTTATTTGTTTTGAATGATATTTTGTTTTCAATTTTATCCTTTAATTTATCTATTGACTTTTTTTTATATGTTGACTTTTTGTTGACTATTTATTTAAATTTATATTTATCTGTTCAAAAATTTTTTTTCTAGTTGTTAAAATTTATATCTATCTGTTCAAATATTTTGACTATCTGTTTAATTTTTTTCCTTTCATTTATTCAAATATCTGTCCAAATTTTATTATTTGTTCAATTCTTTCACTTATCTATTCAAATTTAAATCTATCTGTTGAAATACAAAGCTAAACCAACCCCTATATATCTCTATCTGTTGTAATACCAATCCAAACCAAACCCTATCTATTCAATTTTTTTTCTATTTATTTAAATATTTTTTTTTTCTCTATTTGTCTCTACCTTTCCCTATATGTTGTAATCTCTTTCATCATCATCATCATCATCATCATCATCATCATCATCATCATCATCATCATCATCATCATCATCATCATCATCATCATCATCATCATCATCATCATCATCATCATCATCATCATCATCATCATCATCATCATCATCATCATCATCATCATCATCATCATCATCATCATCATCATCATCATCATCATCATCATCATCATCATCATCATCATCATCATCATCATCATCATCATCATCATCATCATCATCATCATCATCATCATCATCATCATCATCATCATCATCATCATCATCATCATCATCATCATCATCATCATCATCATCATCATCATCATCATCATCATCATCATCATCATCATCATCATCATCATCATCATCATCATCATCATCATCATCATCATCATCATCATCATCATCATCATCATCATCATCATCATCATCATCATCATCATCATCATCATCATCATCATCATCATCATCATCATCATCATCATCATCATCATCATCATCATCATCATCATCATCATCATCATCATCATCATCATCATCATCATCATCATCATCATCATCATCATCATCATCATCATCATCATCATCATCATCATCATCATCATCATCATCATCATCATCATCATCATCATCATCATCATCATCATCATCATCATCATCATCATCATCATCATCATCATCATCATCATCATCATCATCATCATCATCATCATCATCATCATCATCATCATCATCATCATCATCATCATCATCATCATCATCATCATCATCATCATCATCATCATCATCATCATCATCATCATCATCATCATCATCATCATCATCATCATCATCATCATCATCATCATCATCATCATCATCATCATCATCATCATCATCATCATCATCATCATCATCATCATCATCATCATCATCATCATCATCATCATCATCATCATCATCATCATCATCATCATCATCA